TATCTGCGTCCCTTGCATTTCCATGTGAATTTTAGGATCGGCTTGTCGATTCTTACAAAGAAGCCAGGTTGGATTGTAACAGGCACGGCATTGAAGCTGTACGTTGCCTGGGTATTATGACCACCTTAAAAGTAGCAAATGTTCAATCCACTAACACGAGGTGGCTTTCTGTTGATTTATGTCCTCTTTAATCTCCTTCAGCAATGTTTTGCAGTATTTAGAGTCTTCGCAGGTCTTGCACATCTTTTGTTAAATTTATCCCTCAGTATTTTATTCTTTTCAATGATCCCGAAAAAGGAATTATTTTCTCCTCATCCTTGAACTGTTCGTCGGTAGTGTATAAAAATACAACCAATTGCTGCACTTTGATCTGGGATCCCACGACTTTGCTGAGCTCGTTTATTGCATGTTCAAGTCGGTTGTTGTGGGGTTTTTTTTGGGGGGGTGAGTGTTCTTCAGTGATATAGATAGAGATAGATAGATATAGGTATAGCTATATTTATAGATCTAGGTATAGATAGCTGTAGATATATGGAGATCATCTCTAAATAGAGATAGTTTGACTTGTTCCTTTTTAATCAGGATGCCTTTTATTTATTTGCCTGACTAGAAGTTTGAGTATAGCGTTGCACAGGAGTGTCAAGGACAGATATCCTCGTGCTAGGGGGAGAGCACCCAGTGTTTCACCACTATGGATGATGTTATCTGTGGGTTTTTCATAGATGCTCTTTACCTGGTTGAGGAAGACCCCTGCTATTCTTATTCTGTTGAATTTCTTTTCCTGAAAGGGTATTGGCTTTTGTCAGATGCTTCCCTTCCCTCTCTACACCTATGAGATGATTATGAGGTTCCCCAGCCCCTGCATTCTGTTCATGTGGTGTATTACAGGAATTGATTTTCATATGTTAAACCAACCTTACATTCATCGGGCTTTCTGCTTGAGGACAAGAGTGCGTGCATATGTGTGCGCGCGTGTGTGTGTGTGCGTGCGTGTGCATGTTAAGGGATCTGTAGCATGATTAGAGGCTAAGGAATTTGGAGGAACCTGCAATTAGTTCATTATGGATGGCTGTAGAGTCGGGTGCCAATGTCGGTGTGGTGGTTGATGTGGCTGGGGAAGAGGCAGGCAGCAGCCAGGACACAGAAGATCTGGTATGCTATGCTCAGGTTTTCAAATACCTTATAGGCCGCTGTGAGCCCACTGTGGTTGTTGAGCTCAGTATTGAAATGATCTGATCTGTTTCCAGAAAGATCATTTTGGCAGCATTGTATAGAACAGACTAGAGAGGATTGGGATTGGAATTAGAAAGCTCCTTCAGCATCCTATTCTAAGAATTATAGCTATCCGAACTTAGATGATGGCATTGGCAGATAACACCAGGGGACAGACTCAATTAAAAAAATAATTTAAAGTACTAAAATGATACATGATAGGTACTTGCTACGTATTTGTGATTCTGTTGAACATACCTGAAAATCTGGAATTTGTTTATTTATTCCTTCAACAAATCTTTATTGAGTGCCTGGGACTGTGGTAGGCATTGAGGAAATACCAATGAGCAATATAGATCAGGTCCCTGACTGCAGTTTCGTGGAAGATACAGACAAGGGACATTCTACTGTGATAAGTGCTATAAGACGAGAAGTTCGAGTTGCTAGAGGAACACTTAGGAGGAAAAACTTATACAGACTAGGGGTTTCGGGATATATTCCTGGAGAAAATGGTGTCCAAACTGAAACTGGAAGGATGAGTAGAAGTTAGCTACGTGAAAAAGAAGGGAATTAGTTGGAGGAGGGGGAGTGGAAAGGCTCTGGCATGACTCCCCAAATGCAGGTTGAAGCGACTACAGACTTTGGAGCTGTTACTGGAGATATGGGCTGAAGGAGAAGGTCCAGTTATTGGTGGAAAGATGAGTTCAGTTTGTAGTATGTGAGATTTGAAATGCCTGTGGGATATCCAGATGGAGATGATGGCTAAATGTCTTGTGAGTTCAAGAATGAGGTCGGGGCTGGTTATATAGATTTGAGGATCATTAGGCTAGTTCTTGAGGACTTGGATGTAGTGAGATCATGCAGGGATTGTACATAGAGAGAACATAGATGGGGACCAAGGACAACTTCTTTTATGGGACAGGAAAAATAAGAAAATTCTTAGTAGGAACCTGGAGGAGTTTCCGCACAGAAAGAGAGAGCTGGGAGAGAATCAGACCAGAAAGAGAAAGGAGTGAGCAATCAGAAGGAAGACAGCTGGAGAACAGAGCAAGAAGTGACAAACTCAAGAACAATTGCTGAGTTCCAGAATGATAAGCATTATAACATACTCACTGAATTGGGCAATGAGAGTTTTGCCGAGGGCCTTGGCAAGAGCAATTTCAGTGGAGGGGTTGGAGGCAGCAACCAGACCGGTCTTGTAGTAATGGGGAGTTCTGAGACATAGCCTCCCAATATCTGGCAGCATGATAAATGTCCGTATTAGACAGAATTAGTTGAGTACATCACGCTCAACCAAAGTTTTCTGCATGCCTAGTAGATTCTCACAGTGGGATAAGAGTGGGTCTTGTGGCAGCAAAATATCCTACTTTTCTTTCATCTGAGAATGTCTTGATTTCCCCTGAATTTCTGAAGGATAATTTCACTTTGTAGAGGATTCTGGTTCTTTTTCTTTTATCACTTGAGAAGTGTTGTGCCACACCTTTCTAGCCCTCATGGTTTCTGATGAGAAATCCATTGTCATTCTATTTGCTTTTCTCATACAGGTAAGGTGTGTTGTTTCTCTCTTACTGCTTTCAAGATTTTTCTCTAGGTCTTTAGTTTTCATAAGTTTGACTGTGATGTATGTTTGTGTGGTTTTTTTTTTTTTAGGTTTATTCTATTTTGGGTTCACTCAACTTCTTAAATCTGTAGGTTTATGTCTTTTGCTACACTTGGAAATATATCAGCCATTATTTCTTTGAATATTTTTTCAGCCCCACCCTCTTCTCCTCTGGCATGCCAATGAAACACATGGTGGCTCTTTTGTTATACTCCCGCAGGTCCCCGAGGCTCAGTTCATTTTTTCCCCACTCATTTGGGTTCAGGCAACATGTTCTGACCAGCCCTCTATGGTTTGTGGTTTAATATCAGTTCCATTTTCAAAGAATGCCATGCTATTGGGTCTGGTTAAGCATGATCAGCAGTCTGAGAGCTGGCGAGGTTTATCCTTTAGTTCAGTCCTTAAAGTCTTTCATATGTTGTATAGGATCACATACATGAATACACAGCTTGGCGGAGAGCCTAGAAAAATTTCATGGGTTTACTTTCCTGAGCTCTTTCCTTTCTGCAGTCTTTCCAGTATTTTTGGTTCCCTAAGCTTCCCCTTTTTAATCTTGTAGGCAAAAAGCTGTGGTTTTAGTTAACTCTTCTCTGCCACACATTTCCTGTGCCTTTGCCTTCTTCTGGTGTCATACCAATGGGAAAACCAAGAAGGGAAACAAGTCATGTGCATCTGTCTCCACCCTCCAGGAACTACAGTACATAGAGAGAGGAAGGTTATCTTCTTTCAGAGTTATAGGCACTTCGAGGCCTTTGAAACTGTCACTATCACTGCTACCTCTGTTACCGCTGCTGTCATAGGATTGGCCTGTGGACTGGAAAATTAGAGAACAGAGAAAAGAAAGAAGAAAGAAAAAGTAGGGATTTCCTTCACTCTCTGAGAGTTACCATTGCCTTCTCTCTCTCTTCAAGTCAGAACTAGAGCTCTCTGTGTCCACATTCCCACTTTTAACTTTCAGGTTATGCTGAACCAAGGATATAGATAGAACAAAAGTTGTAAATTCATCACTGTTTTAGTGGTACTTCAGATTATTGTCTTCTTCCCCAGTCTGCCTGTTTCTGTTTGCATTTCAGTGTCCTCAAATAACAGCTCCATGTACCGTGTCCATATTTTATAACTGCATTCAGCAGACCATGCTTGCTCCATCTTACCCAGAACCAGAACCATTCTGGAGAGTTTACATTTTACTTTTATATTTAAATGGAATCAGTTTATTCCTTTATAAGTGATTGCTTTTTTGTGCCTAAGTTCCTGAAGAATTCTTCTTTAAAGTATAACACAACTAGAATATATCTCAGTATTGATTGTCCTGTATCTGTTTTTCCTGGAACTTTCTTTTACTGTATCTGTGGATATTTTTCTGTTCTACTTATTAGGCTCTCTACTTAAGGCATGTAAATTATCTTAATGCCGGATCAACATTAGTGTGATCATCTAAAGTCTTTCTTCTGTGTTCTTAGTTTAATTTTAAGCATATCTCATCTGTGCCTTGCTCTTCATAGTTTATTTATTTGATCTCCTATGTGGCTCTTTGGGTTCTCAGTTTGTTTTCTTGCATGCCACTCTTTCGTTCCTCTCTCTCTCCCTCCTCTCCCCTTTTTCTCCCCCTTTGTTTCCTATTCCCTCTCCCTAGCTCTCCCTGTAGATTGTTATTGTAGTTGCCAAACTATTATTTTTTATTTCAATTATGGGAAGCACTATCTAGACCTTCTATTTGCTCTAACATCATGTGAGCAAATTCATTTATTATCTCATAGCTGTAGCTTAAGGGCCAGATATTGATTTTAATTTACTTTTTCTTTTAAAATCTTGGTAAATATCATGTTATATTCCACCTATGCAACAGTATAGCCTATGTAAGAGTTAGCTATTATTATTGGTCATCATTATGTGCAGCAAACATCTCATTTAATAGTCACAAATTTGTTAGAAAATCCTGCAGGTAGGTAGGTATTTTCTTTACTATATCCATGTGAGAAAACTTAAGCTGTGAGAGGTCAAACAGAATTACAGAGTGGCAGACCCTTTAGATGCTGCCTAGTCCAAGGCTTCCATTTTAAATTGAAGAAGAGAAAACTAAAGATCAAATTCAACAATACAGTAGAAGGATCATACACCATAATCAAATGAGATTTATTCCTTGAATGCAAGAATGGTTCAACATCTGCAAATCAATCAATGTGCTGCACCGCATTTACAAAATGAAGAATAAAAATCATAATCATCTCAATAGATGCAGAAAAGCATTTGACAAAGTTCAAAATCAATTTTTTTAATTTATTATTTTTAATTGAAGAAATGATTTAAAATTTTCCCTGACTACCTTCCCCCTCCCCTTTCCTCCTCTCCCCTCCTCCCTCCCTTCTGATAACCACTAGTCCATTGACCATGTCCATGAGTTTCTGTTTGTTTGTCCAGTTCATTTGGTGCTTCTAGGTTTATATCCCACATACAAGTGATATCATGTGATTTTCAACTTTTTCTGTCTGGCTTATTTCGCTTAGCATGATTATCTCGAGGTCCATCCAGGTTGTCGCAAATAGCAGTATTTTATCTCTTCTATGGCTGAGTAATATTACATTGCATATATGTACCACAGTTTCTTTAGCCAATCATCTATTGTAGGACACTTCGGTTGCTTCGGTTGCTTCCTGACCACTGTGAACATCAGTGTGCAAATATCTTTTCAGATATGAGTTTTCAAGTCTTTGGGGTAAAAATGCCCAGTAGAGGCATTGCTGGATCATATGGTAGATCAATTCTTAGTTTTTTGAAGAATCTCCATGCTGTTTTCCATAGTGGCTGTACCGATTTGCAGTCCCACCAGCAGTGTATGAGGGCTCCTTTTCCTCCTCACCCTCTCCAACATTTGCTCATCACTCGTCCTGTTGATGATAGCTATTCTAACAGGTGCGAGATGGTACCTCATTGCGGTTTTGATTTGCATTTTC